TGCACAAAAACCAAAACTCGTGACTTAAAACAATCGTTTTTCAGCTTTATTGACATATAATTGACAAAATTTAAGATTTTATTTAAAGTGTACATTGTGATTTGATAAAGGTATACATTGTTAAAGGACTCCCCCCACCTAGTTAATACATCCATCACCTCACAATGTTCTCACTATATGTATACATGTATATACTCATAAATTTAAGTTCTACTCTCAGCAAATTTGAACTATGTAGTATCGTTTTATCAGCTATAGTCACCATGTAAACAACCATTTTATTTTGTTCCTCATTTTGTAGGTCAGAAGTTAGAAAGGGACCATCCAGGTAATTAGCTTACAGTTTGTTGTCACTTGTGGGGACAGGCTGGCTGATCCTACAAGATGGCTCCTTACTGCTTCTTGGCCTTCTCTCCAGGTCTCTTACAGGCTTCAACAGGTGGCTCGGATTTTGCCTAGGATGGTGGTCTTAGGGTAGTTGTATTTCTTAAATGGCAGTAAGTTGTAAGAGAGCAGGCAGTAGCTACCAGGCCTCTTAAAAGCCAGGCCTGACATCGGCATAGCTATTATAGCATCATTTACACCTAACTGTATTGATCAAGACATTCACAGTCCAGCAGAAACTAGAAGGGAAACAGACTCCAACTCTCAATGGGAGCAATAGGAAAGAATTTGCAGCCATCTATAATCTGCCCTAAGTAGATGATCTGTTGGGCATATATACCTGATAAACACAACCACCTCCACACCCACACAGGGGAAGTATCAGTACCATGCAGGATCCTCAGTAGTTTGCAAAAAGTATTGGTTGCCTTAGATAAAAGTGAAGTGGTATTCCACATACTGTGTGTAACTTTAACAACTTTTTTATATTTAATGGTCATGAAAATCAAAATTCTTTAAAGTTTTATTCCTTCTTTGATTTGTACATGTGTATTTTATGACCAGCATTTTGAGCTGCAGGAAGTGTGAACTATGCTTTTATGACACATACCCAAGATCTTAGGAGCATTAAAAATGGTTTATTAATGCCCAGGGTATCATTCTAACTTACCTAATACCTTTGATTTACTAAAGTCACAAAAGTTATGTTGGCTTCTTTTATGAGTATAACTTTAGCCACATGGTAAAGTACAGCTTCATACAGGTGTTTTCACAGGTCTAGTCCACTGAAATCTAAGAAATTCAACCCTGGGGTCACAGAGAGAAGAACCGAAAGACGTAATGAAAACCACATGTTAACCATTAATGTTCATTTACCAAATCCTACTTAAACTCTTGTACTCTCAAAGCTAATTTCATCCAATTGCCTTTTAATTACAGTCTCTTGCTCAGAGTTGCAAATATAATGGCTTTTTAATATATCTTGCACTGTTCTGTGTCCAATGTAGGATGTAATCATGCAATTTATTCAGAGCTAGTGCATTAGGTAATTAAAACATAAGCACACACGGATTTCTGCACATGCATATTCCACAGAAAAGAATTTGACAAACTGCTTTTGTATAAAATTTTTTAGATAGAGTAGAAGTCTTACGTCTACTAATATATGTTGTGGCCAAGGTGAAATAAAGGAATCACATATGACTGTTCTGGAAATCTGTGTGCATATTGGAGAATGAGATAAACTAAAGTAGGAGTGTGTCTCAACACATTTTTAATTAATCATAGTCTTGGTGGATATAATTCTCAATGCAAGCTAGCGCCCCCTTATCCAAGATATTAGGACATGAACAGATCCCTCAGTCTCCTGTCCCTTTTTAAGAACGAGAAGGGGAAAAAAGTGAAACTTAATATAATTACCACTAAAAATGATCAAAGAATGTAACAATATTTAGAAGCATTTTAAGAGTGGTGATTACTTTTGGAGTAAGAGTTGATACATGCATGGGTAACAAATATATATTTACATTTCTTTCAATGAGCAATTACTTTCGTGAAGTTGTTCACCTTATTTCACAGTAACCAGATTTTATATAAGACAAGTAATTAGCTCTTTTTAAATCATATAATTTTGAGAACTGCATAATTAGTTTTTAAAAAAGCATATTCTGTATTTTTACACTTATTCATCCCATAATTAAGTGCCAACTAATTATGTGTTAGAGATACCAAGAAAGTGATAGGCTCTGCCTTAAGATTTTCATTTTTCTATGGAAAGCTATTTCTCTGGTGTTACCTTCTGACTAATATGTTTGGCCATAAAAAAGAAAAAAAAAAAAACAAACCCCAAAGGATACAGGGCATGAATCCAAATGCCAACATGAAAACAGAAAAATATTTTTTCATTTATCAGGATTCGGGGTTTGTAACATGCTGGTACCTGGAGACATGGAAAAATCTAGATGGACTGATTAACTTTTGCAGTTTTCTCTGGATGTGTTCATACATCTTGTGTTCATTCTTCCTCCTTAGAATGCAAATGTAGAAAAGTGTGTATTCCCTTTCCAAAACACTAAGATTTTAGACAACGTATCTGCATTAGCTAATTTCCTTTTCTGTTCCTTTTTCAATTTTTCATCCACATGCCTTTTTCCTCTTACATTCTTAGCAGTTTTAGGGGTCTTCTTTGGGAAAAACAGCTTGAATGCTAGCCAAGGAACATCTTATTCCCAAATCAGAATTAAACTGAGCCTTAGAATCCAGATACACCCTTTTCCAAATTGGTATTTCTTGTACATTTAAGCTTTAGGGTTGTAAATACTGAACTCTGGGCCCCTCAGCTCCAGAAAGAGGTAATCTATAGAAGCACACCAGCCTCTATAAAGGCCTAGTCAATCTTGATCCCTCTTGATGCCCTGAGTCCCAGGTCTTAAGAGCCTGCTGCCTAAACCCCACCATTGACTTGATCTAGTTTTGACTGCTCCCTATTTAATCCTCCCTTTTTGCTTAGCCTATAGAGATGCTATGTCCTAATTTAACTCTTGAGGTAGAAATCCAGGACCAAATCAAACACACTAATGTCAAAGCAAAAACTAGACAAACCTATGCTCCATCATCTTTATCAAATAGCAAATTCCCATCCTAAATTTCTATACTCAGGTGTTTGATTTAGAGGAAATTACAAATTTACAAATGGATTATAAATCCAATGTTCCTATTCACTTAGAAACTCAAGACCTACATTCCTATAGAAAATGATGGTATAAATGTCATACCAAATATAAATTAAAAATTATTTCTATAATATTCGATAGTAACGGTTTGCTCAATGAGGTAAAAATATAAGCCCTTCATTTTTAACTGCTTTGAAGTCATGTGGTTGTACATTTTGGTATTCCTCAAATCAAAATTAATCTTGAAGTTGATCTGTTTATATACTGTTTTGTGTCTTTTCCCTCCTCCACCCCCTGAAAAGCTGTTAAATTTATGGTACAATCATTACCTCCAATGGAGTCTTAAATCTTAACATAAAATATGGTATGCTGACTACTAACTATTTATAATATTAATGTAGGGAGGGGGGAATGCTTTCCAAGTTTGATATGTTTTGCCCACCAGAGTATCATTTTAATCAGGGATTCAGTTAATCCCTATTTTGAAGCTAGAGTTGTTTGTTTTGGGTGCTCCTGGACCAAACAATTCCTCCACCTTATCCAGAATCTTTAATTACCTTCTCTGAATTTTCTTCCACAGAATGTAAATGCCCCAGATTCTGTCCCAGAGTATCTATTTTATTAATTTTAATTCTGTTAAAAACAACAAACTTCCTCCTTCTCTGTGGCTTTCCCGACTGTGGTCCTGTTTCCTTCCCTTTACATTCAGGGTTCCTTTAAGGATATTTGCATACAGAGGTATCATGATTTATGTAACCTGTTGTCTTTTAATGGACATTTAAGATATGAAGTTAATACTATTAAAAATATGCCTAATGTCCTTGAGTAAGTATCTTTGTACATTCATGAAAATACTTCCATGGAATACAATTCCAGAAATGAAATTATTTGGTCTAAGGAAATGCACATTATAGGTTGAACCTTATATCCCCCAAAATTTGTGTCAAAATCCTAGCCCCAAAACCCCAGAATCTGGCCTTATTTAGAGATGGGGTCTTTATGGAGGTGATCAAGTTAAAATGAGATTATTAGGATGGGTTCTAATTCAGTATGACTGGTGTCTTTGTAAGAGGGAATCTGGTCATTGACATGCACAGAGGAAGAGATGGGGTTCTAAGGGAAAACCACCATGTATACATGAAGATGACCATCTATAAACCAAGAAGCAAAGCCAGGTACAGATCCTTCCTTCACTACACTGAAAAGAAACTTACCCCTGCCAACACCTTGACTCTGGACTTCTCCCCACCCCTCACCAATATTTAAATATTAATCTTTGCAATGTTTTGTTAGTTTCAAAGACAAATAAATGGTACCACTTTTCAATACACACCTCTTTGATTTTTAAATCTTGATTTCACATATCTCTGGGATTTTATTTCCTTTTAAATATCTAAAATGGATTCCAATGAATTGACACTATGAAATAACCATTCAAATCTAGCTGTATTTCACTAGTTTTCTACAATGATTAAAAAAAGATTAAAAATATATTGAACTTTTAAACATGTTTAACTACTCATTCACTAACTGACAATCTACTGCCAACATTCTCTAAGATTATCACACACTGATGGTGTTTATTCCTAAAAGGCAAAAGCTAAACTGGGAACGACACACTTTAAAAACAAAGTAAATTTCATAATTATAGCATGTGAAAATAAGTCCCATGTCCAGTAATCCAATTCATAATGTATTAAGGATTATGCTTTTTCAGTAAATTATTACTGACCTTCTTGTTGGAAACACGTAATTCTACAGTGTCCCAAAATGGTGTCATAAACTACTGGAGCCCTACAGTCATTAAAACAAAAATATGCCATGTAGGATTGCAACTGCTTTAAAAAAATCTTTCCTGGAGACAACAGTAAGGTACATTTGTCCCCAAATCACTCGTTTGTTAATATGCTTATCCTGTTAGAGGACTCTTTTCCATCTTTTTTTTCACTGATTTTTGTTGGTCTTTCCATGAGTTAAGACGTGAACTTTCATGTTATTTGACTGAATAAACCTCTTGTGACAACTTTCAAAGGGACACATGAAACGTTTCTCCCCAGTGTGGATGCGGACATGCGTACGCAAATTGTAGTCCAGGGAAAAGCGTTTCCCACACCCTTCAAAAGTGCACTGAAATGGCTTCTCTCCAGTATGAACAAGAAAATGTCTTTTTAGTTTCGAACTCTCATTGAATGCTTTCCCACATTCTGCACATACGTGATCTCGAGGACCATGGACAAGGAGATGCTTTCTCAGGGAAGCTCTATTCTTTACCTTTTTTGGGCATCCACTGTAAGGACAAACAATTCTTTCTGGAGCCTCATATTCCTTATTTCTTGCTGGCTTCTTTCTAGCAAATTCTGCAGACTGTTTAGGATCTGGTAGGTCAATGCTGGGTGCTCCTCCAGGAGGAAGCTTCTTGCCCATTACATACTTAGAATACTTAAGCTGTGAATTCTCTCTAACGATCTGTTGAGGAAGTTCTCGTTTTGCCCCTTTCTGTGCACATTTCAAGGATTTTTTCAGAAGTGAGCTTGCTGTAAGAACCTGTTGAGAAAGCTCTTTCTCTGATCCTTCTTCCAGGTAGTTAAGGGACTTAAGTGAGTCTTCTTCCAGAATAGGTTCAGAAAACTCACCTCTTATTATGCATTCTATGTAACAATCAGAGAAAGAGTCTTCTCCAACAACCAGATTGCTTGTCTCAAAGACCACACCTTCATCTTCTAAGGCCCATGTTGTGTCGAGAAGTTTCTTCTGGACTGCCCGTGGCTTAGATGGCCTTCGCTTATCCCTCTTGAAAGCTCTTCTAGCCAGGCCTTTCTGGCCACAAGTCTTTGCCCTTTTCTTCAGTTGCTGGTCCATAGTGTCCTGTCTGCTTCTTCCTTGAATATTTCCACCAGGATATATCAATCACTTTCAAGTGACAGTGATCTCAGCAAGTTGTCTTCAGCAAACCTCCTTTGAGACAGTAACCTTTAGATAAAATATATTCCAATTTTAGAACCATTGTCAGAAAACGACCTCAAAAAATGGCCTCAAATTCACTTTTCAATAATGAAATGGTTCCACTTGTTTCTTCTCTGACAAACCCAAGAAAGTAAGAGAATGGACGGTAACATAGGCTGTATATCTTAAAATACAATATAACTATATCTTAGTGGGTATCCCCACAAATTATCTGAGCTCTCCAACTGACCACCTACTGTTACTGGGAACTATGTGTTAGCCCTATTCTAGGCTACTCATGGATTGAGATTTATAAGTGGACATACAAAAAAAAAAAAAATCTATGCCTCATGGTGTATACGTCCTTGTGAATGCCACACGTTAAAAGGTAAAGTGCTACACTGGGTGTCATTTGAATTCTATTCCAGAAATCAATATTATACTATGTTAACTAACAAAATTAAAAGCTTCTCCCTCTCCCACAACCCCTGCTTGTGTTCCCTCTTGCTCTGTCTCTGTCAAATAAAAAAAATCTTTGGGGGAAAAAAAACCCTGAAAACAAAACAAAGAAGGTAAAGTGTACAGAATAAGCAAAGGGGCTGGTAGAAAGGAGTCCACAATTTTAAATAGGGAGCTCAGGCAGGCCTTGACTGAGGTACCAGCAGCTAAAACTTGAAGTGAGGGTCGCTTATTGTGTAACCCTGTTGTGAAATTCAAATTAAATAATGTTTACAAAGTACTTAGCACAGAGCTAATGATGAATGCTTACATGAGCTAGTGTTATTTCACCTTTGTATTCATCCTTTAAGTATATGTTGGGTCCTGGGACACACCAGATACTATACTCTAGACCAAGGGATTTAGCTTTTTTTTTTTTTAATTTAATAAAGAGCTTTAAGCTCTGTGGGCCCCATGGTCTATGCTGTTAACTGTTCAACTCTGCTTTTGTTGCACGGAAGCTGCCACAGATGCTTCAAAGGAGGGGCGTGGCTGTGTTCCAAATAAAATAAGGAGAGACTGGATCTGCCCATGTGTAGCTTCTACTTCTGCAGAAGATGGCGATCAGAGGAAAAAACAAATGAAATCCATGCATTTCTATGCACAGGGGAATATGGCCTTGAATACTTTCTTTTTTCTTAAAAATCTAAAAAGCAGCATTATAAAAGTTATACCATGAATATGTTATAGTCTGGGAACCTTTTGCTTAATGTTACAATTGTGTGCCTTACAGAAGTTCTCTTAACTTTGTCGCGATGTCCTGCTGTAGGAACAAAAATAAATCCTGTTTAAAAAGGAGTAAATGTGAAAGTAGTGGAGAGAAAATTAACATCTTGAAAATATTTTTGAACAGCTATATTTAAAAATATCACCTCAAAAGAATCATGCTATTTACGTTTGGCAAAAACACAGCATCAAAACATGTTTTTCAATTGCTATGGGGAGAGTTTGAAATGCCTTCTTAAACATTTATATATAAAAATATATAATAAATAAATGTTTTATGTAAATTAGTTTTAAAATATATTATAAATAAAATAAATTATGTATTTATATACAATACATAAATATTATATATATATAAATTGCCAAGGGAAGAGTTTTGGATTTCTTCTTAAACATTTGTATATATAATATATAAATTTTTTTTATAATATATACAAACACTTAAGAAAACACTTAAAATACTCTTTAGTAATTGAAAAGCATGCTTTGTTTTATTCCATGTACCCCCCCCCCCAAAGTAAATGCTAAGATCCTTTCTAGGTGTTTTTAAATGTGGCTACTTCAATATATTTTCAAGCTGTATGGGGTATCTCAGTCAGTTGAGCCTCCACCTCTTGATTTTGGCTCAGGTCATCATCTCAGGGTCATGAGATCAAGCCCTGGTGGGGCTCTGTGCTCAAGGTGGAGTCTGCTTAAGATTCTCTCTGCTTTCCCCCCAACTCACACTCTAAACAAAACAAAACCAAAAATACAATATATATTTTCAAGCTGTGTATGTATAATGTTAAATGGTACAAGTATTATTTTCTTTTTGTATATTTTAAAGAAGATTTTATTTATTTGACACAGAGACAGGAAGAGAGGGAACACAAGCAAGGGGAGTGGGGAGAGGGAGAAGCAGGCTTCCTGCTGAGCAGGAAATCCCAATGCAGGGATCCATTTCAGGAGCCTGGGATCCTGACCTGAGCCGAAGGCAGACACTTAACTACTAAGCCACGTAGGCACCCCTATTATTTAAAAAAAAAAAAAAAAAAAAAAGATAAAATAAACCAGGAAACCATGAGACTATATTCAGGAAATTCTGCCTAACAAAATCTTGTTCTCCTAGCTAGAAATAATTCTTGACTCTTTAAAGGTATTAATGAATGTAACATCTTTGGAGCAAAATCACTAGCAATCACTCTAAAGTTTGAGTAGGACAATATAACCCCTCCCACCCCATTCCATTTAGTCCATTTAAAGTAACTGCAATTTGATTGATTCCAGCTTTTCTCTCCAAATTTATTAAATTTATTCTGGAGACGGAGATAGTATCTCCAGCTCTACTTATTTTTCAGCCATAATAAACTCTCCCTTCAATAAAGTGCCATGCGCTTCCCTCTCAGTAAAATACTACCCACCCTCACTCCTCCTTCCCTTATTAGCATGGGCACCTGCTTATTTCTCATCCATTATTTTTGATGTTTGCTTAAATATCACCTCCTCGGGCAACCTTCCTTTGATTCATTGGCTCAGTTAGGTCCCCAAGCTCATTGTTTCCATAGCTTCCTATTTTATACTGAACGGAGTTTCTGGTATTGATTACTTAAGGTTTGACTTACCTAATGGACTCTAAGCTCTGCTAGGGCAAGGTTCTCTTCTGTTTTATTCACAAGTCGCAGGACTTAGTATATTTGTCTAATGAAATGAAGGGATGAATATCCATTAATAATCATAATGATGATACTGATTTAGCAAACCTACAAAATTAGTACAAAATTATATGGGACTTTGAATACAGTATGGAAGTTTCTAAAAGTTGGTTATCAGTGATGCCAAGATGTTACCTAAAAAGACAACTCTTACGAGATCAGGGCTGAAAGAGGTAGTCTCTTTATGAACTTATGTAGCCCTTACTTTTCTAAGCTAGATTCTCATTTGCCAGATATGAGCATTACAGCATTTCTTGTACAATATTCAAGTTCGTGAGAATGATGTATAAAATTTAAATAGTAATTTATTAATAACGGGAAGAATCCTGTTTATATGACAAGTACATTCTCTGTTGGTGGATATCAAACTACTTGGAAAATGTACTGGGTAAACATGGAAAGAGAAAAATCTGGACATTAAAAAATACATACTGGGTTGAGAGTAATAGAATTTTATATTTCTCAGACTGAGACGGAAGTACTTCCAAGGGTGCATCATTTACTTACTCAGTCGTTTGACAAATATTTAGTAGCAAACATTGTTCTAGGTGCTGACCCTAGAGCATTAAAAAGATACTGAGGTCCTGGTTTTCATAAAGCTTTTATCTGTGTGAGATATAAATGTAAATAAACAAATTATTTGTAAAATGGTAAATACAATAGTTTAAGGTTGAGAAAAAAGCTAGAAAATAAAAACAATTAAGGTGTGGTACGGAAAGGAAATGATGGAGGCCATCTTGAGAAAGAATGTCTGGAATGGCCTCCAAGGAGAGGGCATTAGGTGGAGACTTGAAAAAGAAAAGTATCAGCCAGTGTAAAGAGATGGGAGAATAGTGTTCTTTCCAGGCTGCAGCAGGGAGTACAAAGGGATTAAGGTGCTGGAGGACAAAGGAAGCCGTGTTTATTGCACACAGTGGCTAGAAGAGACCAGAGTGGTCTGAGATAAGGTTGAGGACCTCGCAGAATCCTGGGAGCCAGGGAAGCCATTTGCATTTCTTTCACAAACCAGTGGGAGCCATTACAGAGGTTTCTTTCAGACCAGGAAAAAGCCAGTTCTGGCTGAGGTTAAAATGATTACTCAGGCTGGTGAGTGGAGAATAGACCTCAGGAGGCAAGGGTGAAAGCAGAAAATTCCCTAGGGCTATTTAGCAATCCAGAAAGAGTGCGGTTTGTTTGGGGCAGGTGTTGGTAGCAGAGATGAAATGGCAGAAGAGAGGGAGAACAGAACCTTCTGAACTTGCGGGAGGATTAGATAAAGGGAGTAAGGCAAACAGAGGAGTCAGTGAGTAAGTGGTCCTAGGTTTTCACTGCATAATTGAGCAGATGGTAGTGTCACTTGCAGAGATAACGAGGAGGGAAGAAAAGGGAAGACAGGTATACTCTTGATTTAATAATTTGAACATTTTAAGACTTGTAAAAAAAAGTGAACATTTCAATATAAACAATTTAAAGCAAAATAGATCTAGCCATTTGTTGCAGTGAAATATAATTTTTATATTTTTTTAAGCAAATTTTAAGAATGCAACTTTAAGGAAATTTCAACCAGGCATCTACTTTCAAGAAAAGGTCTTTACTTTTCTCCTTTCTCTTTTTTAAGAGTTTGAGGCCAGTGGCCCAGAGCAGCTATAGTCAACGCGGTATAAACACTAGAAGTCTCCTGGCCAAGGTCCATTCCCCACTTGGTTCTAGGATAAAACGCTTCTCGTCCATGGTTTTCAAAACCTTTTGAACAGGACTCATGTTAAAAATACATTCTAAGGAGTGAGCTCAATACATACCCTTTCCTCCTAAAAGCAAAGGTCCATGAAACAAGACTTACCCGTGCTACCAAGCTGCACTCTGCTACCTCCTATCCCACCGGCTTCCGAGTAAGAGCAAAAAGAAACTGCTACTGGAGCCCCCACAGCAGCTGAAACCGGCCAGTTAGGCCCACCCTCTTTTTGATGGACACATTCAAATTAGGCTACACCTACATTTCAGCGCCGCATTGATTAGTTTAGG